TCGAAGTCTGCCAGAAAAACAGCCTTCGTAGCAACTTCGACCCTTTTGTTTGAAGCCTTAAAGATATCCAATCTTTCATCCAGTTCCTTGAATTTGTATAAAAACATACCTAATTTAACGTGGTAGAGGCTCCTGGACTCGACTCGCATTCATGCTTCTCGAATTGAGCTCAAAAATAGGCTTCACAAACACGTTTCCAGACTTAGCCATTTCTAGGCAGTTTCCCAGTTTTGGCATAGCCTTTTGATGAGGTTCAAAAATGGTCTTCTGGACTTCCTATCGAGCTCTCAATCACTTCAATATGTAGAGGGACACTCCAGCTTCAAAACAAGTCATTAGTCTTCAATTTCCATCTAGCCAATTGTATGATATGAATATCCAAAGTAGGCACCATGAACTGTTTTTACACTGAAACAACATATTAGGTCGACCGGATCCTATATGAGGTCGACCGAATCCTAAATGAGGTCGACCGGATCCTATATGAGGTCAACCGAATTCTATGTGAGGTCGACCTAATCCTAACTGAGGTCGACCGGAAAGTGCAAGTCACCGTGACATGCATGTCACCGTAGGCACACCCTATTTATTTTTAGTTACAAAAGTGATGAAAAAATACATCAGAAAGTAATCTGTATAACTTGTATTTTCAACATAATAATTTGCTCATTTATGTTTGGCGTAACGCACGGTTAAAAAACTTCATCTCCATTTTGTGGTAACAAAGTAATAAACTTCTGCCCTCTGAATAGAAAATTCTTATTCCACCGCTGAGAGAAAGGGCTCTAGAACGGAAAAGTTGAAGGTTACTTGCTCCTCTTTGTCGCTTCCATAGGCTGTAATACATGATTATAATAAAAGAACAGATAGAATACAAAAATCCAATATGCAAAATCCTTCAAAATCTTCGGTCGCATTATATCACGGATAGTGAGATGATGATATGACACGTTGATGCATCGTATCATTGTATCACAACAATACAACGCAGGAAAAAATCCAAAAGTACCACTGTTTAAAAAAAAAATTCTAAAAATACCACTCAATTCCAAAAATACCACCCTTTTTCAAAAACCGCCACCCCACCCAGCGGTTTGGTCGAAAACCGCTTGTCGGGGGTGCGGTTTTGGACCAAACCGCGGGCCTAGGGGGCGGTTATAAAAAAAAAAAAATTTGGACCAAAACCGCTGGGTGGGGTGGCGGTTTGGCCCAAAACCGCCACCCCAACCAGCGGTTTGGTCCAAAAGTTCGGTCGAAACTTCAAACGAACGTAACTTTGCACTCGGGTATCCGATCGTAGCGATTTTTTTTTCATTTCGCATAACTTTTCAAGATCTACAACTTTTACTAGGATGAAATTTTCAAAACAGGAACTATTTGTGGATATACGGGACCTTGAGAATAACTTTACCTTTACTTTTCAGAAATCCATGTACATTTTTAAATTATGATTATATTAAAAGTTGTAGATCTTGAAAAGTTATGCGGAATAAAAAAAAAATTCATGACATTCGGATTTTGGAGCACAAAGTTATGGCCGCCCAAAGTTTGACGAAATAAAAAAAAAGGTCGTTCGGGGTGGCAAATGACGTTTTGTCGAGACGAAGACGGAACCCGAGTGTTTGAGACTTGCAAGATCTCAAAAAGTTATTCGGATTCAAAAAATGGAGGCCGCAAACTTTTTGAGATCTTGCAAGCCGCAAACCGCCGGGTCTCGCCTTTCGTCAAACTTTGGGCGGCCATAACTTTGTGCTCCAAACTCCGAATGTTATGAACTTTTTTTTTATTCCGCATAACTTTTCAAGATCTACAACTTTTAATATAATCATAATTTCAAAATGTACATGGATTTCTGAAAAGTAAAGGTAAAGTTATTCTCAAGGTCCCGTATATCCACAAATAGTTCCTTCCTGTTTTGAAAATTTCATCCTAGTAAAAGTTGTAGATCTTGAAAAGTTATGCGAAATGAAAAAAAAATCGCTACAATTGGATACCCGAGTGCAAAGTAACGTTCGTTTGAAGTTTCGACCGAACTTTTGGACCAAACCGCTGGTTGGGGTGGCGGTTTTGGGCCAAACCGCCACCCCACCCAGCGGTTTTGGTCCAAATTTTTTTTTTTATAACCGCCCCCTAGGCCTGCGGTTTGGTCCAAAACCGCGCCCCCGACAAGCGGTTTTCGACCAAACCGCTGGGTGGGGTGGCGGTTTTTGAAAAAGGTGGTATTTTTGGAATTTTTTGGGGTTGGGTGGTATTTTTGTAAATTTTTTTTTAAACAGTGGTACTTTTGGATTTTTTTCGATTTTGTAGCACAACCCAACCTTTATAATAATAATAATTCAATGGAAGAACAATACCTTTAGCTCTACATTGGCCCGAAAAGACTTGGAAGGAAGGGAATTTTGGCAAGATTCTATCTTTGTGCCGCATTATATTAGTCTTTTAGTACAATAATAATTATACTTCTTGCCTCTTTAATTTTTTTGTCCCGCCGCCTGGATGGGCATATTAGCCAAATCCCTAACCTATTAACATGAAAGGTGAAAAGTCTAAAGGGTCCGATACTAACAACTAGGGTGGGCATTGGGTGGGTCGGGTGGATTTTGACCATAAAATGCACCCACCCGTGCTTAAACGGATTGGTAATTTTTAACCTACACATTTAGTCTCGGGTTGGGTCGGGCGGATGGTGGATGATGCAGGTGGGTTTGTGGGTTCACCCACATCACAATGTATATAATATAAAAGGAGTCAACTTGACATGATAATAGGTGAAGAGAATCATCGAGAGAAACAAGAAGTTGAAATAGGGCGAAAAATGTCGAATTAGTTCTTAAATTGGATAGAAATTCTATTATGAAAGAGTTTTCTACAGATTGAGACGATTATTAGGTGCAAGGAACTAAGGAAAATAATTCCACAAAGGAAAGAGCGGTGATCTAGGCACAAGAACTAAAGGAAAAAAGTAAAGTGAAGAAGAGGGGATCTCTATTTGGAAGGTTGGCTTTGAGGTTCAAATTCCAGGAGCAGTCCGAGTTTATATCTAACGTCTTCACTCTCCTCTCTCTAGCGCCAACGACTTTGATCTTTTTGCTGTTGGGTTGAGCGGGTCACCCGCACACTCACCCACAACCCACCCACCACCCGACGGATGGCTCCCCGCGCAACCCGTCACCCACCCACAGACCCACCCACTTAACGAAATTCGGATCAAATGCGGGTGGGTCGGCCCAAACCCGCGGATGATCCGCCCGCATGTCCAGCCCTACTAACAACAAGATTCATTAAGGGCAAAAGGGTAAACTAACACAAAATAACAAATTAAAATTAAAATAAAATATATTCAATCCCCAGCCTTCCCCTCTCTGTCTCTCGATATCTTCTCGCAGTTGTTGCCCGTGAAATCGAGAGGCCTCTTTATTAATGAGCAACGAAATGGCAGCCGCCACCGCCACTCTGAACTTGGGATCCGCCGCCATGGCCGTGCTCACATTTTCAGCCGACTCGCCGCTGCCAGCCTTCCCACGCGCCGCTGTCGCCGAGATACTCAACATGTTCGTCTCCTTCACCAATCTCACTGACGGAAAGCCGCCTTCTTCCTCGCGAAACTCACCTTCTCCACACTGTCGCTACGCCTCTACCAAGCTATTTCTCCCCCGTCGATGGCGTCCTCTGTTGTAGATCTCGTCACGGCGGCGCCTCGCAAACCCGATCTCCGGCAATGAAAAGTGATGATGGATCCCTGATCTTGATGTTTACAAATAACCCGTATCTCCAGGGACAGCAACGACGGTCGCAATCCCTCCAATAGCGCCTGCAATCGCCACTGATCTAGGCCCTCTGGCTGCTCGATAAATTCAGCAACCATCCAACCACGATTTAGCCAAATCATCCACTTCTCTCAACGCAATCAAGTTGTTCTGGATCTCGGTAAAAATCATACTCAACCCCCTCCACCCATGGTGTTGCCCACCGCCGACCACTGTGTTCGTAGGATTTCAAAATCCTGATTACCCGCAACTTCATGATTGAACCATGCCCAATTGCGGCAGTATAGATGAGGGGGGTGCTGATGGAGGACCATGATGGCGGCAAGAAAGAGGAGGGCCGTTGTCCGCGGTGAAGGGTCGGTTGGAGGTGATCGCCTGTCAGCAATGGAAATTGCTTGGAGTGCAGCGGCGGAGGGAGTTTAGCCACTTTGTTTTGACGAAGATGACTATTTAGGGATTTAAGGCTTTGTTTGTTTTGTAAATTTTGGTTGTGTTAAAGGAAATTTTAGTAATTGTATACCTTTTTTTTTTAGTAAGAGTAATTGTATACTTTAAATTAGTGCAATGATAGTAAAATTAGTGTAATGTTTAGCCATTCAATATTTTTAATATTTTTAATGCATACTAGAAATCCCTAATGCATACCACTAATTCTGTAAAGCATACCAAAAACACCAGAAACCTCTTAATCCAGACCACAAATTGCCTAAAACAGACCAAAAAATTCAAAAAGCAAACCACAAATATTTTTATAAACGCACCAGAAACCCCCTAATACAAACCACAAACACGGTAAAGCAAACCAAACACGTTCTAATGCAGACCACAAATATATGAAACCAAACCACAAATATTTTGAAAGCACACCAGAAACTTCTTAATGCAAACCAGAAACCTCCTAATGCATATCACAAATCTCTTAAAACAAACCACAAACCCCACAAAGCAAATCAAAACATTTGCGAAAGCACACAACCCCACAAAGCCACATCACTGCCACTTCAGCATTGGATGTTGAGTCATTGACGGAATAAATGTTTGACAGTTAATATTAACAGTTAACACAAGTATCAGGTCAAATTTGTCCAATAGTTTCAAAAGTAAGTCACAAATGTCTTATTTGAAAAATGGAATCAGAATTGACACTTATGTTAAACTTCGGGCCAAACTAGAGTATTAACTCATAAAGAAACGATAAAAAGAAGCTGATATTGATTCCAACGTTGATATAGAAAGACAAGTTACAACTCAATCAAAAAAAAAAAAAAAGACAAGTTACAACAAATCGAGTGCAATCGTGGTGCACTGCGTAGATACATTATAGAAAAACAGAGCTCAGAACTGATTATAGTCGGCTCGAAAAGAATACCAACAGAGCATTCAACAACATCCACTGCATTCATTGTGTTAGCTAGAGGGCTGAATATCTACTAGTCTTTCTTGGACGCCCTTGAAGCTGTTTTACCTTTGTTTAGTTTGGTCAAACTAGCTTTGGCCTCAGCTGCAGAGGTTGGTTCGTGCTTGTCCTTCACTGCGATATAGATATAGAATCCCATAACTATATTGACTGACACCACGGCCACCAATCCGCTTAGCAAGGTTAGAGTATGCGGTGATAATTGGCTCAACCCTGTACAGGATCCAACAATCAATATATACACAAGTCAAAACCACAAAAATTTAGCTAGCTAGAGAGCACTATGTTGCCAATCTGGCTTTCAGAACCAAAGCTTTCTTCTCCCTAACATAGAAATGAGTTTTTTCTTTGTCTCGCAGGAGAGACACCCAGACTCTTTTCCATCATTCTAGTGATGGTTTCAGCTCAACCACACTTGTAGGTTTAGCAGCATATGGTTTTGCTTGGGTAGGTTCGTCACGGGACACATCACATCTTGTCAATAAGAGAGCTTAGATTGATTGTTCAACAATGAAATCAGGCCACAAGATGGACAGATTTCACCACGGCTTCCTTACTCTTGTCTCAACCTATATGCCAGGAAGCGAAGTAGCAGCAAACTACATGGACGTTACTTTGGTAAGGACAGAAACTACCTTAGTTTCATAGCCATGTACCTGTAAGAAATCATCTGCTTTATACGTGGATGGTAAGGATGAGTGTAATTTCAGAATACCATGTTTGAGCTATACGAATTGTAATATTGCAACCTATCACATGTATTGGCTCAGAATACACGGATTTTTGTACTAGATTCATGCAAGAAACACGACGAGACATTCCAAACAGAGAAGTGACCAAGTACATTAAAAGTTGATCATCAAAGGACAGATCTGTAGATCAATACAGGGATGCATTCCTTTTTTTCTATAAAGACTAAAAAAGGGAACAGAGGTGAACACTATTAAGCAGCCAAAAGGACACTTTCTGTGTTCATCATGACGATAAGATGACAGGAACAATCAACTAGCTACTTGAACCTGATTTCCATATTAGGCACCTAATTTAACCCTTTTAAAGCAGCACACTCATTACCTCTCACTCAAACAACAAACCAGACTCTATTAAATTTCAGTTCAGCGGAATCCAAGCGGATTATCGCTGTCTACTGTGTTCAAACCAAAAACACATTTCCACTCCCATTGTTCGTTCACCAAACCAACGAGGTCGGATCACGAAAGATCCATTTCGATCTCAAACCAGTAGGAGTAGGAAATCAACGAGGCAGGGAGTAAAATTGGATCACGCCAATATTCCTGACGATAGTTAATAATCTATTCTTCTCCTTCTTCTAATCATTTCATGACTCCCTCTGGATTGGAAGTCGCGGGTGAAGCGTAAATATTGCTACGAGAACCAGTGGACTTTTGGCGCAAACGAAATAAAGAGAGAGAAGCGGATTTACCGGGAAGCAAATCGTGGTTGAAGGCGAAAAGGACAGCAATCGGAGCCATCCATATGAACATTGAGGTAACAAAGAACTTGTTTGCCGCTCCTGCCATTGCGCTTCGTCTTTTCCCCTTTTGCAAGATCAAAACCTGAAAACGAATTGGGGAAACTGTTTTGGGTTGTTTGTAATAGATGAACAAAAACGAGAGGATTGAAGCTTCTTTAATTGTTTCTGACCTACACGGAATGGATGCTAGAGATTAGTTTTAACTTCTAATTTCATTCAAATGAGTCGATTGGGCCAGATTTCAGTTTTTAATCAGCCTACATATGATCCTTGACTTAATTAATCAATATGAATGAAGCTTGTCAAACCGGTTTATATTGTTACGCCGGTTTGACAAGTGGTATGTTTCCACGGATGGTACAATCGGTTTATCTCAGTTCATGACGGTTTTGGCAAAACATGTAGAGAAGTGGGAAATCATCAATCTTCTTCCTCGTCTAATGAATTCTCATTGAGATGATCTTCCTTCTCTCCATGGTCCACGAAGTCTTCATGCTCGATAAGCCCTTTGTGCTCCTTCGTTTCTCCAAAACCTATATGCATCTCAGTGAAATGTCTTTTATCAAATACAGGAGGTTAGTTTCTTTTAATTACTATAAAAAATCTCTGGCAACGACGCCAAAAACTTGATGTAGTAAACAAGTGATAAAATCCTTGGATGTTCTAGGATCGTATTCCACAAGGTCTTTTGATAGTAACTACTCAAACCTAACCAAATGTATTTTTATGATGAATGCAAACAAAAGAAAATGATGGGTTGAAGTTCCCTTGGTCTAATTCTACTCTACTAATGCAAGAAAGAAACAAACAATGCAAACAAGTATGAAAATAAAGCAAGTAAAAGGATTGCTTAGGTAGTGTTCTCTAGATGATCATGCATAATAACTCATCAATGAGATGCTTCTATGCATCATCTGTTATGATGCTCTATCCCTCCACTAAGGCCATCCTACTCGAGTTTTCGTCACATGAAATAAGAACTTGATTAGCTAATGTGTTATTTGACTTCATGCCAACACATAATCAATGAAGAATAAGAAAGTTAGGATAACATAAGTGTGGGGCCTCTTGAACCATAACTCATAGTTTATAGTATCGATGATCTAATAATCAACCATTGAAACTACTCGAGGTATAGATGGTCTGGTCATTCCAACTATACTCGTTTGGCATCAATGAGGTATCATTAGAGAGTAATTTCTTAACAACCTAGATTATAATAAGCACAATGCATGAAGTAACGCATAATAGAATCATAAGCATCAATGGCCTAAAGCATACAAAGACAATAACTTTAAACATTAGAGCAATAGATGATACAAGCATAAATTAACTCAAACATCGATGGTAAAAATCATTGAACATAATTGGCATCATATTGAATCATAAAAAATAGTACATAAAGCATCATAGAGTTACATTCCTAAACAATTTCGAGTCAGCTATGTATAGGAGAATAGGAAGACATCACCAATGATATAGGCACGATGGAGAAAACTCCTCGACAAGCTCCAACAGAGCTTTGCCTCCTCTCTATGCATTTCTAACTCGTGCCCCTGGGGTAGAGTGTTGTTAAAAAGGTGTGTGTAAAACTCTAGTCTAGCCTCCTAATTATACTAGTTACAGAAGAGGGGTTTTTAGTCCTTTTCCTCCTAAAGTCGGCCAAAACATTCCTCGTACGATTTGAACTCGTATTTCATCAACTTGTGGATGAAGTAAAGTCCTTCTAGAAGCTTCTTGAGGTATTGGGCTCGAGTATTGGGTGGAACCGCCATTGGGTCGTTGCTCCTTTTCTTTGTGCAATGGGTTGCTTGTGGGCCAAGTATCTCCTCCTCCAATTTGTAGAGCGGCGGTCAGTAGGAAATTCTCTAGTTGGCCTTGCTCAAAGTTCGCCTGCTGCATTACCAGATCTGTTTGTTTTGGCCATAAAGTGAGCTTCTGATGTCCAAATACATCTTCTTTGGAGCCCATGAGCTTGTAATCTCATCCTCCCTTATTGGATCCCTCAGTGATCAACATTAGTCTTGACTCTTTAGTGCATTATATCATTGAAAAGCAAAAAACACCACCAAATGGCATAAAATAGTATAAAGATACACTCATGGTATATCATAAGCACATTATTTAAATGGTTAAGTATTTCATATGAAATATAATCAGATGCACTAAAGATGCATTGATAGAAGGGGAAATGTATCAAATATCAGAGTGATAAGCATTATAAATAGAGTGTCAAGAAAAATATCCCACATTTGAACTTTGCTAGTCCACAAGCAAACACTACTCAAAATCATACAACTTAATGAACACTAAGAATCATCACAAAATCTCAAAGCTTAGATAGTGGGTCATAAGTGAACTTACAAAGTCAACAATAGCACGAAAGAATCCTAATCACCTCAACATGGAAAAACATTAGGCAATCCAATCCAAGCACAAACAACTAACCATGCATTGGAGTCTCAAAACGCACAGGGTGGAGCTTTTGATAACTTTTTCGACTTCTACCATCAACTTGACATACCCTTTGAACACTTTTGCCTTACTAAACACATACTCTTACTTTTTCGAATTTTCTTTTCTTTTGACCATCTCTTTTTGTGATTTTCTTGCGTAGGGAGCTCTTAGTTTACTAGAGATTAAAACCTTATTGATTGAGAAAGAGCTAAATTCTCCTATACCTCAATTCGTGTAGAGGGTCAATGAAATTAAGGGGTGTCAATAGCTTTATCCTTCCTTTTAAAAACACATCCTTAAGTTGGCAATCAATTCAATGGGTAGAGGTTTTACTTGTACTAGAGAGGAACTAGAATCACCTTGGAGGACTTCCCCACTAAAGCTCAACTAGTATCTCTCTTGAAACCCAATTTTGGTGTAATGAAAAGATACCTCAGACGTTGGGCTTACCCTACACTTTATTTCTCAACATATAGTATGACAAATTTCAAATGATAGAAACATATCTTGATAGGTAAATTTTTCATTTTATAGAAGATACAGTTCACCCAATGGAAAAAAGTTTTGAAAAGTGGGAGACTCCTTTGCATAGTCGGAAATCCATTAATGAATTAAACAACATAGCATTCAAACACATCAAGTGGTCATTACTTCCCATTGACTATCACATCATTCATAAACACTACACTATCCTTCCTAGATTAAATGGCATTCCCTAGACTCACACAATTCGACCCCGCACTCTAAAATGGACATTGTGGTTCAGAATGTGGAGTTCTCGACGTCCAGTGTTGGTTTGGGGGGATTTTGCGGTTGCTCTTCTTCTACGTTTTGGACGTTTTAGGTGGTACAAAGATCCTATTGAGCAACTAGATGCAGAATCATTAGTATCTCTTTGTGATAGTGAAAAGGAATTCAATGGGAACGTAAGTAACGTGGCCTTAGTTAAAGTGATGGAGCTTGCGCAGAAAGACGAGGGCGATTCCTTGACAACAATAATGGTGAAGACAGTTCATTATGAGGCCCGTATTTTGCCCAAAACGCGCGTTTTGGTTAAGTCGATGCGCAGAAATCCACGGTCGCGTCTGGGAAAATACTGGTAGTATTTTGAAAATTACCGGCAGTATTTTGCAAATTACGGTCGTATTTCGTCTTCATCTGCCTGTGATTTTCTTTCCTTCAACATTCTTCAATGTCTAGCCTCGGCCATAAAAATACAAGCTGGATGTTGGAGAAATACGGTCGTATTTTTGAGAACCTTGACCGTAATTCTCACCTGAGCCTTCATCATGCTCGACATAAAAAATATCAACAGTAATTTTTGAATTACGGTCGTATTTTAAGGGAAGGTTGCTTGTATTTCTTTCTTAGCTCCACTTTTGAGAGGCTTTTGAGTGACCAAACGACCTCTGATTGACCCGAAACTTGCGTCTATGCCTCCCTTTATTCGCTAGAACCTGAAATATGACAAAATAACACAACCTAGCGTAAAATAGGCCAAGACACCACAAATTCGAGCCAAAATGGTTAAGAAACAACGGTGCAAACATGTGCAAATATGGTGCTATCAGCCGCTTCCTACTATCTAGAGTTGGGCGAATAGGATGTTGGGAAGAGAATGTCCATTTTAGGTCTCTAATTTTGGTAATTCAATGTTCTTGTCTCAGTTCCCGGATCTAGCGACGAGCACTTGGGTTTTTTAGTGATGTCCCTGGCATTGCCATAATGTCTCTCTTTTCTTGCGGCGTTGGACTCAAATGATCCAGCCTCTTGATATTCATCTCTCTTCTTTGCCTATCTAGGTTAGGATAAGTGGAATTCCTCTAGAATACCACATTGTAGATGGGTTAAGTCGTATTCCCAGTATTTTGGGTATTCTATTCTAGATGAATCAAGCAACCAAGCGGGGAGCTAACGTTGGGGTTGCCAAGATTTGTATAGATCTGAGGGTGGATTCTACGTTCTAGGAGTTCATTCAAGTTCAGCCAGAATGAGATGTCAAGTTCTCTCTCAGTGGAATACCTGCGTCTCCCACCTAAGCATCTCTAATGTCAAATTTTTGGCCATTCTCAAGGCAATGGCTCTGAGTTTCAAGAGGATCATGAAGTGTCTTGGTTGCAGACACAACTAGAATCGGTTGGACAGGTTATTACTCAAGATTCTATGAACTCACTAGTGCGGGTAGTATTCAGTATAGATGCTGCCACTCCGGGGGGTTTTCACATTGTTTTCAGGGTCTCAGGGTTCCAGTTCTATGGGCACTTGTGTGAAGTCGTTGTCTTTTAATGTGGGTAAAGGCAAGGAATCATTGGAATCAGTCACTGTTGGATCAGAGACTGGTCCACAGGTTAATAGTTTGGTTGAGAAGGCCGGTAGTTTAGGCTCTAAGTCTCAAAGCAAAGCAAAGGCTAAAGCTCCACCTCCTCGTAGGGGACGCAGGAGGGGCAAGCATCGATGATTTTGCTTTCATGGAATGTCAGGGGCTTCAATACCCCTGAGAAACACAGGTATATACATAGTCAATTAAATAAGTATCAGATTTAGTAGCTTTGTTGGATACTAAAGTATAAAAGAAAAATCTTGATCCTATAGTTAATGGACAGTTCAAGGATTGGGAGTTTCTAGATAACTATAATAAATATGCTTTGGGAGAGGGGGTCTGGTTATTGTGGAGGAATGGTATAAAGGTTACTGAATTGGAATCGGGTGAACACTTCCTTCATGTGAAAGTTAACAATAAAAATGAGGAGTTGGTGGTCATAGCAGTTTATAGCCCTAACAAAACGCTGCAAAGGGCTCAGTTATATAAGGATTTGAAGGTTTGCCGTAGAGATGATGTTCCATGGGTGATTTTTGGAGATTTTAATGCCATTGTTGAGGTCAATGAGGCATCTAACACAGTGGTGGTGAACCAGAGTGTAATGGTTTTCGGCACTGGATTGATGACATGAATTTGGTTGATCATAAGGTCTCCGGGTCATGGTATACATGGTGGAATAGGCATAAATCTAATCCTATTGCTAGCCATATTGATAGAGTTTTAGTTAATGACTCTTGATTAGATGGTTTTCAATTTAGTACTGCTAGAACACTAAGCCCGGGGGTATCTGACCATTGTGGATTTTTTGCTATTAACTTCAATTGGGTTAAAAATTCTGCCAAAACCTTTTAAGTTCTTCTAATTTTGGATAACTCACCTTACATACATGGATCTTTTGAAGTCCATTTGGGATGATTTTTATATAGGAGTAATGGACCCTTTTGATCGACTCTTCATGAAGCTTTTGAGATTGAAGAAAAAGCTCGAAGTTCTTAATCGTATTGTCTACTATAACAATGTTGCTCGTGCTAGGAAGGCTGAAAACCTTCTGACTAGTGCTCAAGAGGAGGTCATACCTTGCCCTACTGAGAAGATTGTGGAGAAGGAAAGTTTGCTGGCTCAGGCTTGTTTTGAAGCTCAAGCTGCATAAGAGAGTTATTTCAGGAAAAGTTCTAGAATGCAATGGGTTCTGGGAGGTGATTCTAATACCTCCTTCTTTCACAATTATGTGAGGATCTGAAACAAAAAAGGCAGACTATTGATCATAGAGTGTCAGAAGACGGATTGTTGGTTACTAATGTAAAGCAAATGGGACAAGTGGTTGTTGATTTCTAGAAGAGATTGCTTGGTGAGGTCAATGTAGAGATACAAGAGCAGCCTGTGAGTTTTTATGAAGGGTTACTCAGAAACAAACTACCATCAGAAGGTGCTATGGAGTTGCAGAATATGGTTATCCTTGAAGAGATCAGATTAGTTTTTATGTCCATGGCATCAAACAAAACGCCATGCCCTAATGGATATCTAGCTGATTTCTATAAAGCACATTGGAATGTTGTTGCAAGGGATGTGAAGGCTGCCATCCTTCAGTTCTTTGAAACATGTATTTTACCTAGGAAAGTTAACTCTACTATTCTTACCTTGATTCCCAAGATAGCTATTGTTGAAAGAATGAAGGATTTGCGTCCAATATCATGTTTTAGTTTGCTTTATATACAAAAGTGCTAGTCAATAGATTGTCCAAATACCTCCCTCACCTGATTGGAAATTCACAATCTGCCTTTATTAAAGGAAGGCTTTTTTGTGATAATATTTCGATGGCTTCAGAGTTAGTCAAAGATTACAACAAAAAATCTATTGCTCCTGCCTCCTAGGTGTGTAGCCAAGATTGACTTAATGAAGGCTTTTCATTCTGCTAATTAGTCTTTTCTCTTTCCTGTCATGGGTTTTCCTGACTAGTTTATTCAAAGGGTTAGAGTTTGTGTTACTTCACCTAAGTTTAGTGTATGTTTAAATGGTGGTCTATGTGGTTATTTCCCGGGGTAAAGGTCTCAAACAGAGAGATCCATTTCACCTATATCTATTTGTGATTGCTATGAAGGTATTTTCTTGCTTGTTGTATAAAACTACAGCAACATGAAGTATACTATACCATCCCCATTGCAAATACCTTGAAATCTCACACTTAATTTTTGCGGATGATCTATTAGTCTTTTCCAATAGTTCACTGGAGGCAGTTGAGGGATTAAGTGCTTACTGAATTATTTATTTTCCTTGTATGTGGCGGAATGATGGATTGTGTCTATTATGTGATGTTTGATTGACAATTTTGGATGAATTCTTATTAATATGATTGCATTCCTAACACAATCTTATTAATATGATTGCCTTGCATCTCAAAAGATGTAAAATCTCCACACAATCCAAGGTCCGATCATATCAACTGAACTCCTCCTGTGACCTTATTCAATTCGGGGAGTTTCATTACCCCCTCAGTGAGTAGTCGCCCTCATCCGTCAAAACGTATTAACCACCCTCCATCCAATCCAATGGTCCCAAAATCCAATAGCAACCAGCCAAAGGCCTTCAGTGTATTATTGCTGCTGCTGCCGACGCAGTCTGGGCAGAGGCTCGTCAGCTCCCCCGTACCCTTACTGCAGACTCCCCCAGTAGTACACTGCCAGCCAGCGGAGCGAACCATCTTTCCGTCCGTCTAAAGGGCTGAATTGCCACAGTGGGCCTACCCACTGCCATTCCTAACCTAACATGCCTTCATCATCCACCAAAACTAATAAATACGACACCTTCAAAAACAAAACCATGACCCACAAACACTTTCCTCTCTTTCCAAGTTTACCACTCCCCATTTCCAACAATTCATTGTACTACCTACCTACACTTTTACAACTAAAATTACATAATATTAAGATGGGGATATTCCAAGTTCTCATTCCTGCTTTTATACACACTTCCTTTTCAGTACTAAATATTTTCTACCATTCTCTTTTCTGACCCCTGCCTGCAACTTCCTACTCCTTCACATATTTGGCGGGGTAACTAATCGCTCCTACCCAAATTTGAGGAAGAGCTGAGCATCTGAGGTGCTCATGGAAGGGCAATTCACCAAATGTGGAGTCTTGAGATTAGCATATTCATCCATGTAGCAACTCGAGACCTTACCTGATGCCACCGGGGCCAATGCCGGCACTGCTGCAGTTGCCCCAGCTCCCAGCTGCGTGCATTGTTGCTTTGGTTGCATGCTAGCTGGCAACAGGCTTCCCAGCACCCTCGTTACCTCGTGCATTGTAGGCCTCTCCGATGGCTGACGCTTCGCGCACAGTAGTGCCAGCTGAAACACTTTCTTCACCCCTCCAAGATCTTTACACGTGGCAGTGATGTCAGGATCCACAGTTTCCATAACTGCATCGTTCGCTGCCTTGGACAGTATCTATTTGCATGTCAACAAACATACAAACACATTTATATTAGTTGATTATTGTTCTCCCACTCCCAGACTAAACTATTAAGGTTCCTTGAGAAGCAAGTAACACAGTCAGACATTAATAAAACCTACCAGATGATGGAGGTTGCACTCATTGTCCACTGCTTTCCTTCCAGTTAGCAACTCAAGCAGAACAATACCATAACTGTAGACATCCGACTTCTCAGTGAGTCGTGAAGTTCTTGCATACTCGGGGTCTATGTACCCAATGGTGCCCATTATATACGTCGAGGTATGGGATTTTGAAATGCACAAGGTCTTGGCAATTCCAAAATCAGTTAGATGTGCTTCAAAATCCTTGTCCAGAAGAATGTTGGATGACTTCACATCCCTGTGAATGATACGAGGACTACAATCATGGTGCAGATACGCTAGCCCCTGTGCTGCTCCCATTGCTATCCCAAGACGAGTATCCCAGTCCAGCCGTTTCTTCTTTGTAGGACCTGGAAAGTTTGAGACATACATAGACGTTCAACAGAGATTGACCCGGAAAAAAAAAAAAAAAAAGACAAAACAGACCAGCAGAAGAGGCAAACTCGAACCCACCATGAAGGAGATCCCACAGACTACCATTTTCCATGTACTCGTAGAAAAGGAGGTGCCCTGACGAAGAGAGAGAGTAGCCCTGTAAGCTGACCAGATTTCGGTGCTTGATGCTCCCAACTGTTCCTAGTTCTGTCTCGAATTCTTTCAAGCATTGAGGATAGTGAGAGTAGAGTCTCTTGATAGCAACTGGCTTGCAATTTTTGAGGACACACTTGTACACAGTGCTCGATGCACCGTATCCAATTATATGCTTCTCACTCAGATTCTCTGTCATTCTCATGATATCCTCGTACACATGGAGAGCCATGTTCATGTGAAGAATCACCAACTTTGGGGTTGAATAATTAACTGACAAAAGAAACAGCAAGTGTTAAGAAAGTAGAGATGGTGGAAACTATAATGTACTTCCTAATGGGACAATGATCAAATGCCTTGGATCCACTAGTAGACCTGTACTACTGTAAATAGTGAAAATTCAAGTACCTGGTTTGTCGAGTGATCCATCAAGAAATTGTGGAGGATTGTGAGGCCGGAAAGCTGCCACTAAGATCATGAGAAGAAGTACCAGAGCACCGAGTGCGATTCCCAGGATCGCTGCTTTCGAAATTGTAACTGCCAAGAAAAGAATAGCTTCACAAGAACAGCAATGCAAACTATTGCAAGTCACAAAGAACACTTAGCTCAAAGAAATTTGATCCTGCTTTGGAGTTTGGAGAACCAGATAGTTTCATACTCGCTATTAGACCAGTTGGACCTCAAATTCAAGAATGATTAGAGCCTTGTTTCCTCAATATTTTAATTATGTTCAAATGGCCTGCAATTACCTCGTGCAGTAGGACGCGACTCATGGCAGGGAGAGTTGAGCCAATATCCACAAAGACCAGGATTTCCAATAAAACTGGCACATAAAATACTTTCAAACCTTCAGAAACATGAATAGTTTATACTTGAATGTAGTAAAAACAGTTTACAGCAGGCACATAGATGCAGAAAAATCTTCAAACCTGTCTGGGGAAAACCTTGTGAAGTTGTTGCTAGTAGGGATAACACCAACAAGGTTGTTATGCGACACATTCCTGCACAGTGGTTACACGAGTTCAAGCAAAGATAACATGAACTAATTATTACATGACATAAAGCATAAACACATAAATTAAAACAACGATTATAACATCTATACAATCAAGGAATAATAATAATTATTATTATTATAATAATAATATAATAATAAACCTGCAAGGACATCAAGTCAATAAAAAAACTTACAAGAAGTTGAGACTGAGGCAATTCACCAGAGATGATAAATCACCGGATAGATTATTATTTTCCAGTCTCCTACATATAGCCAAAAAAAATATACTATAACGTAAACAGGAGATCAATATACCACACAGTTGCGATAACACAATGCATAAGTGACTGCCGGTCCAGAGGCTTGCAAACCACATGTCACAACGGAATCAAGCAGAAGCACAGAGAGCAAAGAATGACTTACAGTGAAAACATGTTTTGAAGTTGACCCAATTCCTGAGGAATCAATCCCGAGAGATGATTGTTTGAAAGGTCACTGCCAATGCAAATCCACATGCAAGAAATAGTTACAAACCAAATGAAGGAAGTGTACGTAGAGACTTAAGAGCGTTTTCTTATGATTTCGTACATTTCCATTACACTTCTTAGGTTTCCAAACTCTGCAGGAATATAACCTGTTACTTGGTTTCTGCTCAGGTTCCTGACAAATAGACAAAATAATGTCAAGCACCAAGTAAGGGCCAAGGATTGCATTCACTCCCACCCATAACTCACATCTTAAGTAGATGCTCCAAGTCACCAAGTGAAGAGGGAATTGACCCACTAATTTTGTTAGCAGAGATGTCCCTGAGCCATTTAAACAAGCAATAAGTGAACCAGTTGAGAGAAAAAAGATATTGGTAACCAGAATATTCAAAGTACTCACAAGGTATCCAGATTCCCAATCCGAGACAACTCAATTGGAATGGGTCCCTTTATAAAATTTGAAGAAAGATTCCTTGCAAACAGAACAAAACACATTAATTGAAATTCAAATAGACAGCACCAAGCAGTCGAGATACGAGTGCTCAGATTCAAGAACGTTAAATCATTAAGAAAAACATAAACTCCGGTTTATTGTGACTTAACAAACACATTATAGAACACAACACAGGTCCTTCACTTACAGATATGTCATACTCTCCAGTTTTTGAAACGCACGAGGAATGGTGCCATTCAACTTGTTTCCATGCACATTGCTGAAATTGAAATTATCAATGACAAACGTTTTTGGTAAATTATCAATTATTTCAAACTCTAAGAAGTAAAGTCCACACTAGTTGCCAGGTCAGATGCCTCACAGACTGTTAAGGTTCGTGCATGAGCTAAGATTATCAGGAATAGGTCCTTCTAGCAAATTGTTTGCGACATTTCTGGAAGAGCACAATGGAAATCATAGAGTTAGCTGCCCACACAAGCAACTGTGAGGAAAACATAACAGCTTCATGCTAGCAGGACACACATACAGATCAAACAAGTCAGTCAACTTCCCCAGCTCCGGTGGAACGTATCCTGTAAGCTGATTATTGTTCAATTCCCTGAAACCCAATAGAGCACAAATCGAATATCATATGGAGTAGACAGATGAAACCCCCTAGGGTTGGAAGGGAATCAATAAAGTGCAAAGGTTTCCTTACAAATAGTGTAGTTTTGTCATATTCCCAAGTTCTGAGGGGATGGAACCAGTGAGCCTGTTGTCATGCAAATAACTGCAACATAGGTTGAGTTACATTAGGGTAAGAAACTCAGAGATCACTATAGCAAACTCACAGATCCGTTGACAGTCGTCAATACAACTGCTTATGCTTATGGTTGGACCATTGACCAGGAAAGCTAACAACATTTACCCAACCACGCATAAATTTCAGGCCGAAAGTTGCACGAATCAGCAATGATGTACTTACAGTTTCTCTGTGTAACTCAAGTTACCGAGTATTGCAGGGATAGGCCCACTGAGCCTGTTGCCGCTTAAATCTCTGAGATTGTGCCAAACAAAAAACAGGAAAACCATGAACTGGGTGAGCAAGCCCAAAGCAGCAATAGCTTTCTGAAAGTTAACAGATTCGACGTAAGAGTTTTTGAAAAGGGCACTCACAGCACAGCTAGAGCCTGCATCAGACCAATTACAGAAGGAATCTTCCCCTCCAACTGATTGCCTTGCAGAGATCTAGATAATGCAACCACATATGCAGGCATTACACAATAAGCTATCATCAGTATCCAGAATATTTTCACTGAGAACTGCAGAAGAGTAGATAAGTACATACAATGTAGCTACTTGCAAGAAGCCGATGTTGAAGGGAATCTCTCCAGTGAATTTGTTATAAGAGAGGTCCCTGGTTAATGAAAACACATGAGCTCTCTTCAGGAAACCAATTTGATCGCAACTAAGACTCTCACCAAGTTGAATATATCGAACACTTACAAGACTTGGAATGCTGTGCAGTTGCCTATATTCTCAGGAATACTGCCGCTCAAGCTATTGTTTCTTACATCGCTGAAATAGATATGATTGCAACAGCCAAACTTTTAAGGGACAGAGCAAAGCATATATATGTTACAAAAAAACAAAAGCATCAGTCTTATAAGAGGCTACTTACAAGTACCAGAGTCCAGTTAACTGGCAAATATCAGGAGAAAGTGAGCCAACTAAGTTGTTACCCCGTAGGCCACTGAATAAAACAGATAAAGAGGTTTTTATCACAACCATGACAACTCCAGCTTTGGGCAAGGAAAAGGAAAAGGAAACCAAACCAAACAAACAGCTCTGTTGGTACACTTAAGGTGACGTTATACTTACAGATATTGCAGAACTTCATTCCAATATATAAGCCTCGGTATTTCCCCACCCAGCTTATTCTGGGCAAGGTCTCTGCATTCAGCCAGTCCAAACAAACAAACAAACCCCTTGGTTCAAATGAGGCAACATATCTTGTTCAATGGAGTCATGAGAGAGGTAAGTGTCTTACATAACTTTCAAGTTGGGAATCTGAGACAGGGTTGATGGTATTGGGCCGATCAGCTGGTTATTCTTCAGGATTCTAACAGGGGGAAAATTCCAAAATGTTCACAACAGATGGACAAACACAGCTTTTTAAATCAAATGCGGACAGAACAGATCCCTTCAGATAAGAAAGAAAGTAGCTTACAGGAATTCAAGTTGCTTCAGCTTAGAGATTGAAAATGGTATGTCTCCATATATCTGATTAACTGACAAGTCCCTTAAGATAAGAAAGAAAGAAAGAAAGAAAGACAAACAATCATAATTACTACTATTAAATGGAACCAACATAAAGCACGTGGCTCACATGCGCATTAAAGTAACGATAATTAAACTCAAGAGCAAAAGCATCCCCTTTCTCTCTCTGTTTCATACGGGATTAAACAATGTACTTACTACTATTAGGTATTAACTAATTACACTTTTGCACTATCCAAAAGAACTTATATTCTTACACTTACAGGCTTTTCAATGACGAGCAGTCGCCGATCTCATCAGGTATCTGCCCAGTGAGTCGATTCTCTCTCAGATCACTGCCACCATTAACAATCACACACAGCATAGCATAGGAAAGCAAAATCAGGCCATATTCCCAATCAACAATTTCATATATTATGACAAAATATTATAATTCAAATTAAACTAGTGAGAGAACAGTACATGGAGATGAGGTCTTTCAAATTCCCAATTGCGGGTGAGATCTCTCCTTCAAGATTCAACCCTGACAGGTTGCTGCCATGACCAGTAGAAACAAGAACAAAAATTCCAGCTTTTAGCCCGGGAAGTAAAAAACCCACAAAAGAAGATTAACCCGCAAAGCCGCTGACTTTTCTAGGTGGAAGAAGAGGGGGAAAGGAGGCTCACAGTGCAATGACATTGAAGGTGACATTATCACAAATGATCCCTCTCCACACGCAATAATCCGAAGAGGCGGAGTTTTCTGTCCAGTCATACAGAACATTGTCCACATCCCTGAATGACTTCTTTATCTCCAGCAGCGTTCCCCCTTTCCCAACAGTTTTTTTTTTTTTTTGCTTAACATGTTAGCTTTTTATTTAATAAAAAGAAGTTAAAATAGGCTGACCCATCACAGATACTACTCTTGCAAAATGCGACGGTAAATGGCATGACATTGAAACGAATTAGGCATTGCTCCATGGGAAAGGCAAGGCCAATGTTATTGGAAAGAAAAAAGAGTCCAAAGATAGTTGTATATGTTTTAGCTAACAACGAGAGCTTACCGTCGTCGGAATACACAGGAGAGACCATTAGAGAGAGGAGAAGAACCAAAATGGAAGCCGCCATCTCCTTGGCTGGTAATGCCATTATTACTATTACGCCGTGTGACTCTTATATAATCCTTACAAGCTTCTAAACGAAAGCACTCATCATTACTTTTTTTTTTAGGTTGAAGCAGTTTCAAGTACCCATGTCCCCAACAGTAGCAGAAGAGTAGTAGAAAGACGGGTGAAGATATATATAACAAAAGAAGAATGAGGGGGAAGGGAGGACCCAGTTCCAAGTTTGAAAGCTTTTTCAAGCTTTCATTGAACTGGGCAGAGCGCAATAAAGAATGTCGAGGCTCTGGGAAAACCGAAGAAATGAGAAGAGATGGAGGGGGGGAACAGAGTGGAGTGGTGTAGGAGTTGTTTATATGTAAAGGATCTGTTTCTCTTGTTTTGTTCTTATCAGTACAAATGACAACTTCCCTCTTTTCTTTTGATTTTCTTCTCGTCTCTTCCCAAGCATAATGATAAGACGGGTTTTAGAGCTCAAAGGAAAATTGAAAAAACAAGGTAAAAACTTTTGCTTTGTTCAATCACATCACTCTGCCACTCATAGGCCCCTCTAAAAACAGAGCTAGCTAGCAGCTACCTCTCTCTCTCTTTCTCTCTCTCTCTCTTCTTCTGAGAATTCAGTACCAGCAAAGCTGGGTAGCTGCGGCACAACTTGAAGAGAATAATAGAAAGAGAAAGAGATGACATTGAAGAGGGGAAAAGGGGTAAAAGAGAACAGCTACTGTGTGGAGGGAGAAAGGAAGAGAGAGATATTTCACAGATAAAGTTAAAATACTCTCTGCCACAGCCCTGCAGCAAGAACCCTGCAAACCTCTCTCTCCATCTCTTCTTTTCGCCTTCTCCTGGCTAGCTATTGAAGTGAGTCCCTCTCACTCTCTCTCACTTGCTCACTTATTGAGTGAGGAGGGAGGATGTGAATGCAGAATGATGATGATGGAGAGAGGGCAGAGCAAAGGCAAATGCCAAAGTGAATAATGGGTCGCTTTCTCTTTGGTTATTGAAGTGAGTCCCTCTCTCTCTCTCTCTCTCTCTCTCTTTCGCTCTGTCGTCCTGCTGCCTGCAAAACTGCAGCACTGCATTTCTTTTGCACAGAAATTGGGTTAATGGGGACGGTTGTGGCTTTACGGGTTAAACTCCAAACCAAAAACTTCCCTTTACCCAACATAGCTGCAAGATGCGGAATCGCTGTACTCCAAAACCTTCCAATAAAAAGGTCTTCGGGAAAGCAGAAACCTCTAGAAAAAAATTCACCTCTCAAACTCTATTTGAATTTAGCTGACGATCATCATCTTCTTCCTCCATCCATGTCTTGTACTGGGATGTAGAAATTTTTTCCCTTTAGTGAGATCGTTTTGGAGGGGCTGTAAAAAAGATTCACAATTATTTTTTCTTGCGATTCCGTTAGATTTGGATTTTGGTGGGGGGGACCCATATTCAGTCTCATACCGTTTTTGGGCTGAGATTCCTTTCCTTTGCGGGCGGAGGAGGGTGTTCTTTTATCATAGATGGCCAAAGTAAAATGTAAGGGGTCGTTTGGAGGTTGAGATTTGAAGTGAGGTATTTAGCAAATACATGTAATGATAAGATTAAGTCGTTTTTTGGTTCACTTTGAGTTAGAATGCATGCATTATCTTTTTGTTGGGCCCACCTACAATCACTCAAAATGAATGATTATAAATCTCTACTAAAAGGTGAGATTGTTAATGAGGGATTGTCTACCCTACTTTTTGTTTCATCATTGCTCTTCCAAACAAAGTATTTTCCTAATACATGCATTGAATCAATACATCAAATGATAACACACAAATTGTCCTAATACATCAATTTGAAGAATCACAATTTCCAAACGACCCCTAAGTAATATCGTACCGGAGGTTATATCGGAGCTGCTAGTACATTTCCCCATTGTAGATGAGATTTTACTACCTAGAGCTGTTTTTTTTACAAAAGATAATCAATAAATTGAAACAAATAGATCATTACATCCTGGAATACAGACAGGCCTGGAAATCAAAAGATTGACATGCAGTCGGGAACAAAGACAGGGCCTGTCTAGCTACCAAATGAGCTACCCTATTGTTTCGTCGACCTACAAATCGCACAGAGAAACCTACGTTGGACGCAAATGAATTGACTATCTCCTCCAGAATCACCCGGCCCCGATATGATTATCTCGAGTATCCTTTCGGAGAACCTTCTCAATAATCACCTGAGCATCACCTTCAAACCTCATGATAGTGAATCCATTAGCCAAACACCAGCCAATCGCCTCCCGGAGAAAAAGGTAAGAATCGTCAGCAAAGAACAAATGAGAGATACGAGGTGCACGAGGAGCCACTTTGACCCCTTGTAATTTCCCCTCCGAGATGTCTCAACGAATGAGAGCCGCAAATCCTTCTGTACAGATGACAAAAAGGAGGGGGGATAGCGGATCACCCTGTCTGAGCCCTCGGGAAGGGGAAAAAAACCAGCTGGGGTCCCGTACATTAGGACCGAAAATGATGTGGATTGAAGGCATTCCTGAATCCATCCACGCCAGACCGAGTTAAATCCCATTTTTTTCCAAAATTCCTAAAAGAAAGGGCCATTCGACTCTATCATAGGCTTTTTCCATGTCAACCTTCAGAGCCATATATCCCTTCTTCCCTCGGATTTTGATTTTCAGGTAATGCATTAACTCATACCCTAAGAGGATGTTATCCACAATTTGCCTTTCTCGAATAAAAGCATTCTGGCCATCAGACACAATCTGGGGCAAAATATCAGCGAGCCTCCCTGCCATGATTTTAGTAATCACCTTGTACACAAATTGGCAGAGGCTAATAGGACGCAGCTGACGCATTGACTCAACTTGATCCACCTTCGGAATCAAAGTCAACCAGGTATGAATGAAGCTTCGGAGCATCCTACTAGTTTCAAAAAAGGAGCTCACCGCTCTAATCACTGAGTCCCCCACTATACCCCAAAAAGCTTTGAAGAATTTCCCCGTAAACCCGTCTGACCCCGGCGCCTGTTTCGATCCCATAGAGAAAACAGTATCCCGTATCTCTTTAGGGAGTACTGCAGCCGTTAGGTTCGCATTCATTTCAGGGGTAACACATGGTTCTATGGGAAGAGCGGTCACTGTTTCGTGCATATTCCCAATCTGATTTTCTGATGTGAATAGGGAACGATAAAAATTTGTCGCAATATCTGCCTTTCCGCGCTCCTCTGTGATCCACTCCCCATCCTCATTAAGAAGCCCACTCACAAAATTTCGCTTGCGTCGAGCTCGCGTGACCGTATGGAAATAGGCCGAGTTTTTATCCCCCTTTTTTAACCAAGTAACACGGAATTTTTGTTGCCAATAAACTTCCCCAGCCTCCCACTGCCTATTCAATTCAGTTTCCAAACAGGACACCTCATGCCAATCAATAGGATGCAGGTTTTTGAGCCGATCTATCTCACCTTGCAATGTGTGAATATTTCGAAGAGAGTTGGTGGTACCAGCTCTACTCCAATCATACAGCAAATGGCGGAGTTTCTTAAGCTTTTCCCATAATTGGAACATAGGGGTGCCCGGGACGTTTTCATGCCAGACATACTCCACCATGGCCTTGACTTCGGGGTTATGAGCCCAACGAGCATCGAACAGAAAAAGAGGGCGACAACTTCGCACATAGGGCTTGTCCGAGAGGAGCATAGCTCTATGGTCCGAGCCCTGATCCGTGAAATGCTTAACTAGAGTTTCCGGATACCGATCTATCCAGCTCTAAGAACAGAGAGCCCTATCAAGCCTTGCACGAATACAGGCCAAACCCATCCGTTTGTTAGTCCAGGTGAAAGGGTCTCCTTGGAACCCAGGATCGTGCAACCCTAACATGTGGATAAAGTTCCGGAGGTCCAACGACTGGGATGCAGTCCAAGGATTTCCCCCATCTTTTTCAGTTTCGCGCAAAGTTACATTAAAATCGCCTATAATCACGAAGGGTTCCTCCAGAGCAAAACAAAGCTCGCGCAATTGGGATACAATTGTTGCATCAGAAGTCGAAGAAGCAACTCCATCAGACGACAATTGTTGCATCGTCAAACCTGCCACCAGTTGCTTACGAAAACAGTAAAAGCTATTCGAGCTATTTGATGCAAGCTTGCTGATGAAACGATTCACCAGCACAATTAACAAACAACTAGCCCCCAATAGGACAACCAACTCTTCTTTTCGAAGATAAATTCAGGGGTCGTTTGGTTTCTGTGATTGTTTGGTTGTGATTGTTACAATACTTGTATAGTTTACAATTCTTTGTTTTTCTGTTTTTTATTCTCAGACAATACATGTATTGTTTACTTTGTGTGACAAAAACAATCATCTATTATGAATGGGGTAAATGACACATTTGGTCACTGAGATTACTAAATCGTATCATGTTTAGTCACTAGAAAATTTTAATATCAATTTTGGTCACTCGAATTACTGAAACAAGTCACATTTAGTCACTCTCCCATTAGCCTCCGTCCAACTTCGGTCACTCGAATTACTGAAACGTGTCACATTTAATCACTCGAATTAATGAAACATGTCACATTTAGTCACTCTCCCGTTAGTTTCCATCCAACTCCATTAATGAAGTTGGACGGAAACTAACGGGAGAGTGACTAAATGTGACTTGTTTCAGTAATTCGAGTGACCAAAATTGATATTAAAATTTTCTAGTGACTAAACATGACACAATTTAGTAATCTCAGTGACCAAATGTGACATTTACCCATTATGAATGATTGTACAATCTTAGCTAAAAGCTGAGTTTGTTAGGATTGTCTAGTTGAGATTGTTTTCTTTCAACTTTAACCTTTAAAAAATATTTTTGCATTGAAAATAAGGGATACAAGTGACATTTCCATTAAAAATTTACTTGCCTTTTTACCTATTGAAAACAATAACAAACAATGTAATCTACTATACATCTACAATAAATACATGTATTGACCACAATATATCGATTCAACATTCAGAGAAATCAAACGGCCCCTCAGAATCCAGAAAAACTACACAAAGAAATCACAAGCCTACTAAAAATAAGGCACCATTAAGCAAGCTCATCATAAACTATCCTAATCCAACTATCAAAGAGACGTGGCAAGTAGTTATGATGATAAAGGGGGACAAATCAATAACAATGAAATCTAGAAAAGAGGAGAATACTTATTTACCCTGTTGCGTGCTATTTTATTCATATTTGAGCCTCCGATTTTTGTCGTTTATTGACCATTTACCTTGGACACGCTCTCTCTTTAGACGATTTTACGCTAAGTTGTTTTCTTTTGACATATTCTAGGTCCTAGTGTGTGGTGAAGGTTTGGGAGCGAGTTTCGAGGCATTTGGAGGTGAAAAATGAACCATGGAGAACCAAAGCAAAGGTCTAGACGAGGAGCAAGAAAATTCATGGTCATGAATGCCGAATTTCAGACCATGAAACACGTCTAGTAGCTTTTATGGAAAACACGGTCAGTTCTGGGAAATTCATGTCATGACATTTTCCCTTGTCACTACCGTGAATCCCCTTGAGCCACTTAATTGGACGTTGCATTTTGGGAAGTCTCGGACTGGATCCAGAATTAACACTCGTGACTCTCATGACCGTGAATGACCATGTTCGGGTATAAATAGGCTTTCTGCAATTTTTCCAATGAGGGTTGAGTTTTGACAGACTAACACCCAAAGGACGAATCCTAGAGAGCAGTCGAACCTTGAGAGTCTTGGGAGTGAAATTAAGAAATTTATCCCCGTTGGAGCTGAAAGAAGAAGACTAGAAGAGAGATTTTAAGATCAGAAAAAGAATCAAGTCATCATGAACAATGCAGTCAAAAGCGCGATTTTACCTAGAAACGGAAAAGTGGTAAAATCATAAAGCGACAAAGCATAGATGAATCGCTCTAACTATCACAATAAAATCCCACCTAAAGCCCAAGTATAAACCTTAGATGGGTGCAATATAGGGTGACTCGCACAAAACTACACCAAAAATTAATCCGGACTAGAACCCAAGTTTTTAAACTCTAGTCGGGTGCAGTATAGAGCAAGTATTTAAATTTTCAACCCGGGCCGATCCATG